ATTATGTGGAAAAATAAAGAAAGGTCTGTAGATTGAGGTGGTATAGTTGGTTTGTCAATAATAAAGCATGTTACTTTACAAAAAATTGTTGCTCATGACTTTCAGTATGACCCTCGTATTACCAACAGTGCAGCCTCTGAGATTGTCGCAGTAATAACCTCAATATTACTTAAATGCTTGAACCAGTCATTATGAAACTTGGTACAAAAGTCATGTCATGCCATCTGACACCATCTCAATGGTGTACTTCATAAATCACACGCACCAATACCAACACTGCAGCCTCCCAAATTGTATTGTTTTATTTGTTTCATTACACAAACATTCTAAAGTTGTCTTTCTGTTTGTTGTCTCAAGTACTCAGATTACAGTGAAAAGAAAACAGGCTATGAGTTCTTCACAAAACTTCTTGTTTTGCATGAAGTTCCTCAAGTCTCAACGGCGCCCTGTTTTGTGATGCAGACAGTAGGTCGGTCTGACACATACTGCAAGTCAAATATGCACTAGATCAGGACACTTTTGCGAACAGACTGGAGAGAAAACAAAAATGTAACAAAACATACGCTATACATTTACATGAAACAGAAATATCTCTGCTTTGCCTTCATTGAGCATTGGCCCTCTAGAGAAGTTGCTCAGTTGGTCAGGTGTTTTCTCCACCTGTCATGCAACCTGAAGGGTTCATCACCATGTTCACAACAAGTCACTTTAATCCAGCCTACACCTTCACTGTTTAAGAGCTGTTTTTTAATACCCTTCCATCTACACTTAGGTCTCTCAAACAATGTCTTTCCTTGATATTTTGTATGCAGTTCTCATCTACATCATTCATGCTGCATGTTCCACCTATTTCATCCATCTTGATTTGAACACACTAATAACATTTAGCAAAATATATCAGTTCTGAAGTTTTCCATTGTTCAGTTTTCTCAGTGTTCCTGATATTTCCGTATTCTCCTCATTACTTTGTTCTCAAAAACCCTCACTGGCTCTTATGTCCGACCCAACGTCCCATCCAATGAGTACTGGAAGCCCTTTCCTCGGAGCATGAAGTGGTAGAGCGCGAAGCTGACTTATCCTCCATCTGGTGCCCAGGTTAAGAATGCGTGGATTGAAGGATGGACAGTTAGGAGATTATTTAACAACGCCTTGTCAGCTGCAGTTGTTATTTATCGTCAAGCAGCGTGAGTGGGTAAACTTAAAGTACTGGGCAGGAAGTGACTGTGGCCTATTCAAAGGATTATTATAACATTTGCCTACTCAGATAGGGAACCCACAGAAATCCTGAGCCAGGATATTTGCTGTTTTGACCCAAGTATGAACCAGTCACCTCTCAAATATAAGTCAGAAGCATTATAGTATGAGCTGGATTACACGGCGAGAATGCATGGAGTTATATCTCCACTCCCCCGTATGTCTTCAGGCATGGTGGTTAATTATGCATAGGGAGACTGTTAGCTATTTTGTTATCTTATCTCCTGCATGCCTTATGGTATTAGAGGGTAGATAGTAGTTTATTGAAATAGATGGTTTTTTAGTAGTTTAATATTTCTGATACCAGATATTTGGGTAACAGCCCCTGTACTACATTTGGTTTCTAACAGCCAACTGCATCTAAGAAAAAGAAAGTTCAAACATCATTAAATAGTTCTGTAATTGCTTCGTGTGACAGAGACTCAAAGGGACACATTTCTGTGACAACTTGTGATACTGCCTCAACAGATACCATGCCTAGCAGATAAAGCTTATCTGCAGTAGAGCAAGATATTGTCACGTGTTGAGTGTATAACGCGCGACAAATAACTTCACACCATCTTGGGTATAGCGAATTTATTCCACTCGCTCTTACAGTTACACAATTCACAATTACACCACTACTGCCATCTGCAGTATCACAATTAATTCTCCTGCTGGAGTTACTGCCATTACTCGATACAACTCAATAACACTGGACTTCAGCTCACTTCGGCGACTGGTAGACTGCAACTGACTGGTTACTCTCTCTAGTAACTGGCTCAGTACTCACTACTCACTACTCTAGTAACGTCCGCACTGACAACACAGAAAACAGTTACGTGATAGCTACCACTGTTGCGTAATATCATGTTTACAGGCGTTGCTGGGGAACGCTGCCAAGAGTTGTTTATTGCTGTGTAGTAACCGCAGTGTCCCCTGTTATGTCACTGTGGGAAGTGCTGTTATATCACCACAGGGAGGGGTGTTTACTGAGCATTGCATAATGATGGAAGTAGTGATGTCACTCGCAAGACCGCAGAGTTCACATGATCCCTACTTCCTGTTGCGCCATCCACGTCACATTATTATTTATCAGGCCAGTGTTGCATAAACTATATCAGAGATTTTTTTTTTTATTGCTTAACACTGCTTTGTGATACTGAACACCCAATGTTATGAATGATTTTCCATGGGAAATCTGTATGCACCTGTTTAAATTTCGCTTACTACCTCAAAGGAAACACACAGAACTTCAATATTATAGCACTTTTAGGACAATGGAAACTAGGAGGCTATGATGAGCTTGGCATCTGGCTAAGATTGGGAGACAGGTATGCATGTAAAGTTGTGTGGAAATCTTTTGGTACACGTCTACTTGGAAGAGTGAGGAGATGGGAGGATAACATTAAGAATTATGTTGGGAAGATGTGTTGTGAGGATTGGAGATAGATGAACTGGTTCATGGTCAAGTCCATTGGCATACTTTTGTTGAATTTTGGGTTCTGCTACCATAGTTATCTTGAAGGAAGCTTGCCACATCTTTGTTCCCAGTAGCTGTCAATTGAAGTAGATCAGCAAATAACATTCTTCTGTCAAGATTGAATCCGTATGTAGATGAAATTATTTGGGATTGACAATATGGATTTCCTCTTCTATATGTCGTCCAGACTGGCTGTGGGGCCCACCCAGCCTCCTATCCATTGGGCACTGAGGGCTCTTTTCCCGCGGTTAAAGCGGCAGGGGTGTGACAGTAACCACTCACCTCCAACTAGTTCCAAGACCAAGAAAACGTGGATCTATACAACCACTGCCCCATACGTTGTCATGGCATAGTGCTTAATTAGTTAAGCACAGGGACAACTTTACCTCTACTGTAAACAATGTGGATTTTTAGGTATAGATTAACTACTAATCACATATTCTTCATTCATCAGATACAGGAGAAAAAGAAATTGTAGTATTACAGGGCAATGTATCCATTACTTGTAAGCTTCAAGAAAGCCTGTGATTTCGTTAAAAGAGAACTGTAAAATTTGCAATTAATTCAATACACCCATGGAACTAGTTAGGCTGGTTATTATGTGTGTAAACAAAACCTGTAGTGAAATCTGTAAAAGTAAGTACCTGTCTGATGCAGTTCCTATTTAGAATTGTCTCTAATAATGTGAGATGCTTCACAGATGTTGCTTTAGAATGTGTGATTAGGAAGATCCAAGAAAACCAAGTAGTACTGAAATTGAATGGGACACAAATTCTGGTCTGTCCTGATTTTTATTAATGCTTAGGGAGATAATATAAATACCATAAAAAGAGTTATATCTTCTCAGATATGACGTCTTATGGTCCATTTAAAGTCAACGAATGTTTCGGAGGAACATGTTGCCTCCGTCTTCAGGGTCGAAGAATAAGCCAAGCAAGAAACCAACTCGAAACCGGGCGGCAAGCAGAGTAGTTGACCTGCCAAAATTTCGGTTTATGTAGGAAACAGGAGGGAAATGGAAGTCGGTAAGTCAGTTCCAATTTGCTCTCCTGTAGGATGGAATGAACCATCTGTACCCAGACAAAGCTGGGCAAACCAGTAGGAGGAGAGATCAGGATATCTAGCCAAGTCCTGAAAAGAGCACGCCTGACCCTTACCAATTTTCCCCTATCTTTTCCTAGATTAGCACAGATGGCCCTTCTTAGTCCTTTACTCATCTGGCCAGCAGCATGTTAATCACTAATTCTGATTAGTGCAGCCTTGTGAAATGTTAAATGGTGGTACACGTTTGAAAAATGTGCAACTTCTTTTAAGGTCCTTTATCTCCAAAATGATAAATAGTGCATAGGCTAGGTTATGTTTATGTTCATTACAGTAAGTGAAACTCTTTGGCCTGCCATTCCCTGGCTGCATGAAAGTGTGAGAATCTTCAGAAAACATGCATCATCAGAAATGAAATGAGACCTGATAGTGCTATTCATGAAATACATGATCTTTAGTTTAATGGCAGATTGTACACTTTTTTTATTTATTTGTTAGATAGTTACATTGCAAGACCTTCTGATAAGGTAACCATACAGAATCACAATTTGCTATACATACAGCAATAAATTGAACATCTAGCTGCTTGTCTTCCTACACTTACCTTATGCAGTGTCTTTTGTTTCAGCAGTAAATGAACAAAAAAAAAAGACTTGCTCCATATTTGGAAGGTCCCATTTTTGATTAGTGGCCCAAAAATCAGCAGTCATGACTGAGATTTTTATTTTCTTTAGTCTGTGTACGTGGCTGCCTCTGTGATCTAGTGGTCAGCGTTCCTGGTTACAGATCCAGAGGTCCGGGTTTGATTCCCGGAGCTACCAGAATTTTTCTGAGAAGTAGTGGGTCTGGAACGGGGTGCACTCAGCCTCATGATGATAATTGAGGAACTATTTCAAGGAAATCGCGGCTCCAGTCTAGAAAATCGAAATCAACGGCCATGGGGATTCGTTGTGCTGACCACGCGAGAGTTGGCACTAAACTTCACTGACAAGCGGCGGTTGCTCAGTCAGAATAGTTCACTTGCGGTCTAAAATCATGGAGTCTATGTAGGCAAATAGTAGGAGAGTATCTCAGTATAAATTTTCAGTTTTTCATTAATAGTCATCCCATCAGTTGGAGTAACCTATACAGCTGAGAAACTGTCATTAAAGTAGAAACTGAGTAGCAAAGGGAGTAAAATCTTTTCCAGAAATAAAACTTGTTCAAACACTGAGCAGTTCTTGATTTATACCTCTGTTTGCAGCCTCCTCGCAGGCACACTGGTGCACAGCTGATCCAAGCAGTAGACTTTGGACCCGCATGTCCACAGCCTTCGCGCTACATTGGTGCCACAAAAGGAATCCTGGCTATGGATGAAGATTGTCTCTATCTCAATGTGTATTCGCCTCATGTAAGTATTTTCCTTTTACATATACACGTAAGAATTTCTGTCCTGACTGCCAGTATAGTTTCCGGGAGGATAGTCATGTTCTCCATACATATTATCAATTCATTTGCTATAATGCATTCATATAATAATACCATATGTGTAGTGTGCATGGACAGTGATTTTGGTTGACTGAGTCACATGAGTTTTGACCCTGTTTTCCCAATAATTATATTTTCTGTGCATATTTACCTCCAAAAGGAGCATATGATGTCTGGTATGAATAATTTACCTCTATCGTACACTGTTCAAAACACACAAAAGCAACCACCACAGATCTGATCCCAGGTAATCCCATGTTCTTTATCTCTCATTAGAGAAAATTGTAATTAGTATGGAAAACGGAAGCACATTATTATTGAAGAACTAGTTGTAATTAATATGTGAAAACAAAAGCCTAATATTGTTGAAGAACTATATGACATCTTTTGGGAATTCAGAGGGAAGTATCATCATTTGTTATATAAGCTGTGACACTATTTACTTTCCATGATTTCTCCTATATTCCTTCCCAGTCCTAATTGTTATCCAATAATGCATTAAGTCTGACATTTAATGATATCTCTAACAGATAATACATACAAGACATCAGTCATAAACTAACTGCTTTATGTAGTATACTACACTTCACATGTCATCATTAAAATGCTATCAGTACACACAGAATAGACATAAGACACTGAAACAACAGACTACTCACTTGTTCATGACACATTAAATAACTTACATTTATGCAGTGTGTTAATACTTGAGAATTTGTTGCTATGGTAGCCCAAAATTTTGTAATGACAGTAATAAATCTCATATTTACAAAACTTCTTTGTATCGTCGTGTAGGGCGGTACGCGGGACGAAAATGACAGGTTCTAGTTCGGATGATTGGATTTATTGCCACTTTGGTTATAATGTCTCCTAATCACATTTAAATACAGCGCTATAGCTCATTTACACTTTATAATTCACTGTTACACACGCGCACTAGTCCTCTCCTGGCAGTGCAATTGAAACACAGGAACTGGTGCTTCAGATCGCTCAGAATATTACATATAAATAAGATCTTAAAATCACACTTTAAATCCTCACAGTCTGACCTGTATTCTTCTGTACTCCTGGTTCAAATTTGTTCTGTTGGTGTGCTTCCACCACACTATTTCTTCTTCTACAATGAACTCAGAACTCTGTGGAGCGTGGAAGGAAGCAGTGATGGTCTACATTTGGACACAGTCACTTCCTTCCATATCCTTTCCAATTCAGCATTTACCAGTTGCCCTACCATTGGCACTACATAGTCAAAGCTACTGATAATTAGTTAATTAAAGCATAAATAAATATATCTTGCCGGATGTATCAAACCATTGTGAATTTTGTCATTTTATGATAATTTGGTTCTGTTGACAATGTCAGTGTGGTATTTGTTTGATCCATTGCTTACACAAATCCCAATGTCTGTGTCCAGCATAACACTAATCAGTCATGATGCCCTATGATCTTCAGGTAAAACCTTATCATTTATGCCACCATTTTTTGTAAGATCAAACATTTTGATTTGCAATCATAGTCATTCCTCAGAATTTTATTTCATCATCACTAATCAGTATTTTTATTGTTTCTTCATGCACTTTTACTTGTAGATGTTGTTCTGACTTGTTCAGGTTCCCTTGCATCATTCTTCAGTCCACTGTTGGGTTGTATGTTAATATTACTGTTACATTACACTGTCGTCAGAGTGTGAAGTGTCAGAGTCTAATACTGCCACTGTTTCGGCTATGTTGTAACTTGGATGGCCAGAGCATTGCTAGGTAATGGACCAGTAAACACACACGATACACACTCGTGACAATGGAATGATGAGGTTATGCAACCTGCTTGTAGGCAGCTTCTCGGTAAACAGACTTCCATGCAGGCGCAATGCCATCACACTGCCATAGTACTAGCTATCATGTGACTTGTTTTCTGTGTTGTCTGTGCAACACCTGTATAATGACTATCTGTTTAAGGTTAAGTCAGTCCTCCGTTTGGAGGCATGGTCGAATACATCCACTGTGACCCTGCAAGTCATAGGAGACGACAAAAAGGGAAGTCTCAAATCTGAGACAGTAAAATATGGTCGTGAGTCCCAAGGGACTCGGACCTGAGAGAGGCTGTACTGGCAAGGGCCAGCAACATATACAAAAGACAGACCCATCCTCTAATCAGAGAAGGTACCCCACAGAAACAAGACTGTGACTGTCAGAAAATAAATATCTGGTTATGAGCCCCAAATGGGGTTCGACACCAAGACTTACTTACTGACTGACTGTCAGTCACAGTGTGAATTTGACTTTGACTTTGGTTAAGTCAGTGTGGGAAGTCCAGGAGAGCTCAAGGCAATTGAGATACTAGTGCATAGTGCTTACAAGAGAAGTGAATAGAAGACATGACATGTGAGTTATAATTACAGTAATCTTGAAAGTGTTACAGTTATTTGTAGTTACAACTAGTGAAGATCCAGTAAACCGATTCACCAATCCAAACCCGCGTCTTAGTCACTGTGACATGTGACAGTATCTTTCGAATGCAGCGGTAGATCTAACTTTCTACAGACAATCTCTTTTTACTGCTTGGCTTATGATCTATCCTAGTATCCATCAGTCACAAAGGTGACACAACAAACACTGAAAAAGCTGAAAACTTGGAGCTGCCGGTCCCAGACAGATGTCAGAAGCTTTCAGACCATATTGAAGCAAAGATTTGTTGTATATTTGTACTCTACAGGACATGGAAAATGGAAAATGAATATGTAAAATCATACTGCATGTAGCACTCCTGACTTTGAATGCACTGTATGTTTGTATTTATCAAAAGGTTAAACTACAGCCCATGTGTTTAAGTTCCCTGAATTGACATTTCAAGTATACCTTGTTTCTGTCTCAGACTCACTCAGGACTTGCCCAGAAGTATCCTGTAATGTTCTACATTCATGGAGGTGAATTCATGAGAGGTGCATCCAACCAGTTCCCTGGTCATGTAATGGCAGCCTTTTATGAAGTTGTAGTGGTTACAATCAACTACAGGCTTGGGGCACTTGGTAAGTTCAAATTAGATTTATATAAGATTTGTGGTTTTCTTGATAGTGAATATCTTGGGTGAGTACCAGCATTGTGGAGGAACTTACTGCCACCATCTGCAGAGTAGGTACGCACCTACCAGACTTCATGGCATCATAACCCAAGAGACTCAGTCACTTAAGGAGCTGAGCCCTCCTTGAGAAGCTGCCAATTGTGCAGCCACTCAAGAACTTCCCAGCATTTTATGGAACACAAAGGTTCATTACCATGTTCACAAATGCACTCCACTGGTCCCTGTCCTCAACCAGATCAGTCCAATCCATATAATCCCATCCTATCTCTCTAAGATCCATTTTAATACTATCCACCCACCTATGTCTTGGTCTTCCTAGTGGTCTCTTTCCTTCTGCTTTTCCCACCAATATCCTATACATATTCCTGTTCTCCCCCATGCATGCTACATACCCTGCCCAACTCATCCTCCTTGACTTGATCATTCTAATTATACTAGGTGAAGAGTACAGGTTATGAAGCTCCTCATTATGTAGTTTTCTCCAACCTCCCATCATTTCGTCTCTCTTCAGTCCAAATATTCTCCTCAACACCCTGTTCTCAAACACCCTCAGTCTGTGGTCCTCCCTTAATGTCAGAGACCAAGTTACACACCCCCACAGAACCACAGGCAAAATTATAGCAACCTATCCTTATGTCATAATTTTTCTCAGCATTCCAGTGACGAGACAGCAGCATACACTAATTTTTTCTCTGTGTTCATGTCTAGACCAACCTCCTTATTTGCATCAGTAAAAAGTTCATGTGTTTTTCTTCATGGTATCTATACTGTCACCCAATAGATTTACATCATTAGCATAGACCAGCAGCTGATGTGTCCCATTTAATTTCAGTCCCACCTGGTTTTCCTGGACCTTCCTAATGGCATATTCTAAAGCAAGTTGAAAAGCAGTGGTGATAAAGCATCTCCTTCTTTTAGACAATTCTGGATAGAGAAATTAGCAGACAAATGTTTACCTATATTGGCTTTACTATACATTTCATTTAAACACATTTTAATCAGCCTAACTAGTTCCATGCCGGTCACGGTAGCCGGGCGGTCTAAGACGTGCACTGTCTTCGCTCGCTCTGAAGCCGGGATTGTGGGTTCGAATCCCACTCAGGGCATGGATGTTTGTGTGCGTTTTTCTGTGTTTGTGTACAGGTAGAGGCCTTGCTACGAGCTGATCACCTGCCCAAGGAGGCCTACCGAATGTCTAAGATCTAGAAAAACCGAAGTGAACGGAGAAGTTCATGGAGGTAGGCCTAGGCCCACTGGGGCTGTAGTGCCAAGGGAAAAAAAAACTAGTTCCATGGGTACCCCAAACTCTATGAGAATATTGTACAATGCTTCCCTCCTAACTGGTAGGCTTTCTTGAAGTCTACGAATAGCTGATGTACTGCCTAATTGTACTCAATGGCAATATCATAATTATGAGAATATTAATTACTTCTTATTTGATTAATAATATCTTGTAAATATTGAAGAATGATAGAGATTAAGGGTTATTCCAGCGTTTACATATGCAATTTACAGAAATACCGAAAACCCCAGTCCAGATGACTGGTTCCTGAGTGTCAGATGTTAGAAAACTCAGATAATAGATGGCTAATTTGGGATATATTAAATTTGATTGAAGATAAGTACCACTCACAGAAGACCTGTGCAAAGTCTGCACATGAGAGGCTTCACCAGCACAGTCACTCTTGGTTTTTGGTCCTGCAGGGCCCATGGCCATATTTTTCTGCGTTACAACTCTGGCTAAGTCATGTGTGACTGACTGAGAAGCTAGCCTCATGCTCAAGCTATTTAACTTCATTTTTATTCTTAGGGTGGGCCCTTGTTACTTAGGCTGTAAATGACCCATTATGCCAGGCCCAGATGGTAAATGAGAGAAATTAAGCATTTGGTGGAATGAGAACTGGTAGGGGAATCCAAAGTACTTGGAAATCCTTCCCTGGTGCCACTTTTTCCATTTGAAATTTCTTCTGAATTGATATAGGATTGAACCTCAGTTCCTGCAGTGGAGAGCTGTCAATTCACCACTTGAGTTTTGGCAAGGCCATCTTAACCTCATGAAAAGAGACCCCATGTACCAGTTGGATAGGTCAAGTGGGTACTTTCATAATGTTAGAAATCCATTGCTATATCGGCAATACATTTAATGTACCTTTACAGGATTTCTGAGTACAGGAGATGCTGATTCACCTGGCAATTATGGTATACTGGACCAGGCAATGGCTCTGCAGTGGGTGTATGACAATATTGATGCGTTTAATGGAGACCGGGACAAGATCACCCTGTTCGGACCTGATGCGGGTGCTGCATCTGCTGGACTGCTGATGGTTGCTCCACGTTCAAGGGACTATGTTAGCAAGGTCATTGCTCAGGTGAGATATGGAGCAGAATTATTTGCTTACCAGAAAGTGTGGTTTGTGGTAGCTTTCGTGAGACAGAAGCAAATGCTGTGACAATGATGCAGATAGACAGGAACTCTTTCGTGACTCTTCAGTTACTGTTGGAATAATTGGAGTGAGTGCAGTGTGTGTGAGAGGCTTTGAAATGGTGAAATAGGCTGCTTTGAGCAGTGGGCTAACATAGTAACATTTTGCCAGGAATTGGGATAACTGGCAGCAGAAATGCTGCAGATACTCTGATGGTGTATAGCAAATGTACACTGTTCTGATCCAGTGTATCTGAGTGGCATCCCAGATTAAAGGAGAGTTGTGAACTCTCAGAAGAGAACTTATGCTACAAGGACATCAAGACGCAGGTGCAGTAGGTTGTGTGTTCTGACTTTCAGATGGTAGAGATGATTACAGAGAAATAATTTTTGCCAGTACTTCCCACACTGTCCTTATAGCATTGCACATGCCTACATACTGTACCAAGAACATTGATGCAGGAACAGTATGATAATTGGGTGAGTTCATCCATGCAGCAGATAATGGTGTATACGTTCTCCAAACGACTATCACAGGTGATAAAATCTGGTGCTTTTTATATAATCTGAGAAGTAAACAATAATACAATGACACGTGTAGAAGTTGCCATTATCATTGAAAATCGTGAAGTCCCAGAAGGATCACCTGAAAAGGAGAGTAATGGAAGTTTCTTTTAGGACTGGCATGGTATTGTGCACTGCGTGTTTATTCCTGATAGTTCCAACTCAGGAGGGTGAGGGACAAAGAAATAATCACCTGTCTACAGTAAGCAGTTCACCTGAAACATATTGAATATGGCCAGCAAAAGAATGGGTGCTTCTGCATGTCAGATCCTGAGCACACAGGTCATGATTTGTGCAATGACTCAACAGGCATGATACTGTGATACTTCTCCACCCACTCCCTATCTTGCACTTTGTGAGTTCTGTGTCTTTCTATTTATGAAATACTGACTTGAAGGCTCTCACTTCAGTATAGGTTGAAGGAGATGTGAAGATAGTATTACACGGCAGCTTCCTGAAGTGTTTCAAGCAACTGTATAACATTGTTAGAAGTGTTTAATTGATGAAGGATGATATTCTGGAGAAATCTGGGCCTGAAGTGTTCTTGGTCCTGGGCTCCTATCTCATAATATTTTGACATTAGTACATAATTTTCTCAGTTATTCATGTAGATAAATACTTGCTCAGAGCAAGAGGTCAAGTTTTACATTCATTGAAAACTGCGGTTAGAATTATAGAATGTGTGTGTATTTCAGTCTGCAAGACCTAGTGGTGTAGGCATAATGCACTTCCTCAGAGGTTACCATCTAAAGAGACAGAAAAATCATACAAATTAAAGTGAAGTTAACTTCATGATTGAGTTTTGTACATACAAGGGTCACTCCAAAAGTAATGCACAACATTTTTTTAAAAATTCAGTTTTTATTCTAGACCTTCAGTTCTTATACAGTATGTTGATACATCCTGTAGGAACAAAATATCAGTTCTCCACATAATCTCTATCCCTTTCAACTGCCTTATGCCACCTTGGAACTAGGGCCTATGTGCCAACGTGGTAAAACTCTGGACCAGCGCATCTGAGCCACCGTTTAGTGGCTGTAATGACAGCATCATCATCTTCAAATCTTCTTCCGTGAAGGGATTCCTTCAGTTTATCAAAGAGATGGCAGTCAGAGGGTGCCACATCAGGACAAAAGGAGGGTGTGGCAATGTTGTCTATCCAAGTGTTGTGATCTCGTCATTGGTTTTCTGACTGACGTGTGGTCGGGCGTTGTTGCGCAACAACAAAACATCCTGTTTGTGCCGATGCAGTTGAACTTGAAGTTTCTTTAGGGTTGCCACATAAGTAAGTAAAAGTAAAGTCAGTAAAGGTATCCCACTAACTGGCCGTGGAGGCCCATAGGGTTGTGAGATGTTGAGGTTCCCACATTTTCTAGACAGTCGGCTCATAGATGGCGGCAAGGTTGTCAGCCCTACGCGCCGGCCACCCTTTACCCCCAAGAATATTCCTGGGTACTCATTTCTGTTAGAGGCTGAGTTGACCCCAGGGCCATAGTGCGGCTGGAAGGATTAGGTAATTTGAAAAAATTCAAGGACCTCATCAGGACTTGAACCCACGACCTTGTGGCTTGTAGCATAGTGCCTCAACCAACTATGCTACTGCGTGCCCCACAGGTTGCCGCATATGCATCAGAATTAATGGTCGTGCCTTGTGGCATGATGTCCACAAGCAAAAGCTCTTCTGAATCAAAAAAGACTGTAGCCATAACTTTTCCTGCTGAAGGTGCAGATTTGAATTTCTTTTTCTTGGACGAGTTCGCATGGTGCCATTCCATCGAATGCCATTTTGTTTCTGGTTCAAAATGGTGCAGCCATATTTCATCTCCCGTCACAATTCTCACAAGAAAGTCATCTCCACCATTCTCATACTATGCCAAGAGTTCACGGCACACAGTTTTTTTGGGTTTCTTTTTGGGCATCTGTCAGCATCCTCGGAACCCACCTTGCACAAACCTTTTTCAACCCCATCTGTTTCAATATTCTGCATACACTTGCTTCTGCAATTCCCAGTTGGACTGACATTTCTTTCATAGTCGCACGTCTGTCCTCCAAAATCATATGGTTAACACACTGCACATTGTCAGGTGTTCGTGCAGTGTGCAGTCTACCGGTGCGAGGAGAATCCTGAATATTGGTGTGCCCATTTTCACCAGATAATCTGCGTGCCCACCAACTAACTGTACTGCGATTGACAGCATCATCTCCATACACATTTTTCAATATCTTGTGAATGTTTACCACTGTCTCATTCTCACACCACAAGAACTTTTTAACAGCGCATTGTTTTTGACAAACATCAAGCGCAGCAGCCATTTTGAAGGAGTGCTATGACAGCGCTACGCGTGAGAATGGTTTGAATTAAATTTAAATACAAGCAAGAAGGATCCTTCTATGCACCCTACAAATAGCAAAAGTATAGATTAAAAACTGAATTTTTTAAAAAATGTTGTGCATTACTTTTAGTGTGACCTACATATTTTCTATTGGCCAAGATGTGCAATGCCTAGAGTTCTCAGACATTCTCAAACATTTACCCTGTTACCACATTTGTTCCTGATTTTCAGCATACCAGAAAATGTTAATACAAGATTTGTAGGGATGAAGAGCTCTTGTCTTCTGGCATGTAATGCTGTGTAGTCTGGTGAAAGTCATTCACCTCATTACATGGCAGTACATCCCATGGCCTGACTTTCAGTGGACTGTATGGCATTAACAGAACTCATAATAAACACTGCTCAAATCAGCATTTGTAGACATGTTTATAATATACTGCCATAGAAATTGTACATGCCTAACTATTATACTTCTTTTGGCTTATTTTGGACTTCATCCATCGTCTAGTATGTAAAAGACAAAAGACCACGACGTTTTGGAGACTGGATCTGTCTACGTCACTGGAATGGATGAAGTCCAAAAGAAGTACAGTATACACCATCGTCAGAATCCTTTCAAGTCTATCTAGTTAGTTAGTTATTGGAGAGGGTGGGTTTCCCCATGCACTTAGACCTATATTGGTCCATTGTACTTCCCTCTATGATTTCTACCAGTCTCTATATCCTACCGGTACTGGTGCATACCATCAGTCCCACCCAGCCAGCGAGACCGGCTCTATTAGCTGAGAGGTATCTATAATGCTTTCCCCATCTACCAGAGGTATTAGAGACTGCTGTTGGGTGGGAAACGTCCATAAATTTGGCTCAGTGACCTCCTTTGGAGATATGAGGTTCTTTTATGTGCCGTAAAGCTATGACACAGGACCCACGGCTTAAAGTCCCTCCCGGAGGACTTGTTCCCTGAATTTTTCCGCCCTTAAAAATTCGACGACCTCCGCCGCGTATTTGAACCCGGGTACTACGAGTCATGAGGTGGGAACGTTACCTCTAGACTATGGAGGCCGCTAAGTCTATCTAACTATTATGTTTCATGTATTATTGTTATTCCAAAATCTGTCATGAAATAGTATGATTTCAGCATGCTAATGTTTTTGTCTCTTCAGAAGTTTATGCAGCTGCCATGTTATTGCTCCTGTTGGGAATTAAGAAGAAAATAGGCTAGAAACTGTGAACATTAAATTCAAGAAATTTTCAGTAACTTTCAGTATGAAATCAAATAGCATTTTTATTCTTATTACAGAGTGGCTCTGCAGTGGCTGACTGGGCTCTTATAGTGGACCGATACCGGGCACAGAACACAAGTCGTGTGTTTGCCCAACACCTAGGCTGCAGTTTCGATTCATCATGGAAACTTGTCAATTGTCTGAAGCAAGGACGGAGCTTTGTCGAAATTGCCAATGCTGAGTTCCAGGTATTTCTTTAGAGTGTAATTCAAGTAATAAGAGTCAGCATTATGTAATCTAGAAGACATCCTAGAATGTCTGTGAGACAGTTTTTTTTAGGGATGATTCAATGAAGATTTCTGAGATCATCAGCTATCCTGAATTTTAAATGGTGATTAATGGTGTACCCTTTCTCTTTGACAGCAAAATTTAGGCACTGAAACAAAATTAGAGAATTCACTGAGCTGCAGAGTTGAAATTTTTAAGACATATAACAGAATGCAGTATGCTCATTCTCATAAACAAACTAACAAATTTACAGGATCTGAGAATGGAATAACTTACACAGAAGAAAACCGATTTTAATATTTTTATTGAATGGAATATTATAGATTCTCAAAACAAAATATGAAGTACCATCCAGTGGGGACATCCACTTGAAAGGTTACTAGACCGTGTGAATGCTTTAGTTGGCATGCTGGTATTATGATGCTTGAAAAATTATGTGAAGGCCAAACTAAAGTCTCATTTATTATTACCCCAACATATTAAAAAAGGAAAGCACATCTTTTATTGTACCCTTTTGCTTCCAGATTATAATGTTTACATATTCATATAACTGTTTTCATTGTGTAATTGGGGACATTTGTTAGATGAAAATAAAATATTGTCATATGATAGTGACTACACACAGATTTGGGATTGATAATCGTTTTTGTTGAACTCGTAACTACAAGTAACTATAACAATCTTACTAATTTACGCTCTCTAAATCACTATAACTACAATGCACATAAGGTTTTCTGTTAATTCACTAGTCATTGCAATGTAGCAGCTGCTAACAATGCCATTCTATGCTGGTAACTGTGGACTCAAACCTCCAACTAACTGTCAGTTCAGTTGCTTGTCAAGCCTCATGACCAGATATTTATTATTGTTTGACAGTTATGGTCTTCTTTTTGTGGGGCACCCTCTCTGATGAGAGGATGTGTCTGTCTTTTGTATATGCTGCTGACCCTTGCCAGAGCAGTCTTTCTTGGCTCCGAGGCCATTGGGACCTGTGACCATATTTTGCTGTCTCAGATTTGAGACTTCCCTTTCAGTCGCTTCCTAGGCTTGCAGAGTCATGGTGGAGGTATCTGACTCCACCTCCACATGGGTCCACATGCTTGTCCAGTTTGTCCTTGTTATGTAACCTGGGCACATACTGCATAGAAAACACTAAATCCTCTATTGTTGAGTTAGTATCTGTTGATCTGTTGCCATGGAAATGTGTTGCACCGCCTGTCCTTCCTGTTTCCTTATAGCTTATACCTCTCACACTGACGTCCAAGACAGGAGTGGCACAACGTCATGGGCTCTCATGTTATGCTCCCTAGATAGAGTAGGGACTCCAAGTTAACAGCAAGGGAGACTCTCCCAATCGACAAGACTCAGTTCTTCAACAATAACAATTTAATAACAGAGAACACAATATAAACTAAATACAACAATTACAACTTTACCGAAGCACGTAGGTCCAAACATACAACTTTGACCAAGTCTGTCCATTACATTTACGGCTTGCCTATCTGCGGCATCTGACTAAACTTAATTGCCCATGCTCACTGCTCTAGTAACTCTGCTTACAATCACACTACCTCAGCACGCACAAAATAAACCTTGACTATTATTAATATTCCACAGGCGATTCCTCAAAGGGGAAATCTAAGGCCCCGTCACTGCCACACAATGAACCTACTGGCCAGCAGATGTGACCAAACCCCTGACGTGCGTTGCCAGCACACACACAAAACGAGACATAATTTAGAATAGCCTAGCCGAAACAGAATTTGACAATTACCCTAGCTGGCAGTGTACGTCTGCTTCGCTGTGGATCCAAACAGCGAGTGTTTAAACACTAGCTGGCCTCTTCCAAGCATTTCAGGGGGGGGGGGCAGAATCCCTTGGTGCACTGCGCACATGGGGAGAAGGGGTAGGGCCAAGGGCGATTAACATGGCTGGAAGGCATGATGTTATTACAAGAGCCTTCAACATGGCTCAGTGCTTACCACACTCTTGCCTAGCAATGGCCACTTATATTTGTTCCACTGTTCTGGCTTTCAGCCGTCATGTTGTATTATTTTTTTGTATCACATAATTATTTAAGTGGCAATGAATCCCAATGATTGGTAATGATAAAAAAAACATTTGTCTCACTAGCTTTACTGTGAAAGCACAACTAACCAATTCAGACTCCAGAATTCTCAACTCAACGTTTGTTTCACTTAAGAATTTGGAAACCTTCAAGGTTACTCTGAAAACTTTCCAGCCACTGCTTATGAGTTATTGAAGTCACATGGACAGTGTTTTGATTCTCTTCTGAAAACTGAGCTTCCTGTTATTTGTTCACTGGAAGAATTTTTACAAAGTAGTGTTTCAGACCTGCTCAAATATTTTATCGCTTCAAATCTGAGTATGGCATTACCAGAAGTCACAAAATGATCTATCTTCTTATTAACCTTTTCAGCAATCAGTGCATCTATTGAGCAGTCATTGTGTGTTCTGAAGAAAGTTTGTAGTTGTCTGCACAGCACATGGACTCATGAGAGGCTTATTGAGTTATCATTAATTACAGTTGAGAAGAAAATTCTTCAGGACTTAGGAAACCAGTTGAACTTCTCTTACTCTGTGATAGATATTTTCAGTGAAAAATGTCATCACATGGAACTGATGTTCAAGGTGTAATAACAAAATATAATCTATTATACTGTAATAGTGGCTTCTAACTCTATGGATGTAAAGGTGTCCCTCTGGAGAAGGTCTCTGAAGACCGAAACATACAAGGCCATGATTAATTGAAATAAGAGAAAAAATCTTAACCAGTCACACTAGACGGAACTATTTAACTTTTTCATAATATAATCTGTTAGTTTACCTTTCCTTCCTTTCTTATTCTTTAACATTATTAATTTTTAGCTCAGATTTGTGTAGTTGCCTTGTATATATCCAATTCTCAACATTTTTGCAACCTTCCCTGTCCCATGGAATCTTGCCAATGCTTGTGAAAAAGTCCTGCTCTGTTTCCAGCTGGTAGACTGTAGAACAGATTCATACACTTTTATATTGTGGTTGTTAGGGTTATGGCACTGTCCATTGTGGTAGGCAGGTACTAACGTTGCATACAAAAATACTGCCTCCATATTCAGGGTAGAAGTGAGAAAAGCCAGGAAAGTGTTTATTTTTAATTGCTAGTGGGGTGGTACTAAGTCCCTTGTACTGCAGCCACTTCTGGCCTATTGTACCAGCCCCAGATGATAGGTAAGGGTGATTGTGGGGCAATTGGTGGAATGAAGATTGGCAGGGGAAACCGAAGTACTCAGAGAAAACCTGCCCCAGAGCCACTTTGTCCACCACAAATCCCACTTGACCAGACCTGGGCTCGAACCTGGGTCGCCGCGGTGGGAAGCCAGCGACTAACCGCTTCAGCTATGGTGTGGCCTCCAGGGAAGTGGTTGGTTATGCTAGAAATATGGGAAGATCAAACAAGACATGGAAGATTGAGTTTCTGGCTCATTTCTGTGACTTGGACTTGGGGTGCCCTAGTAACCATGGTTTGGAAACAGATGCTTTTGTCCTGACCAATATGCACTTTACAAATATAGCAGGCTTAAGCAGTAATGTATCCATCTTGTATTTGGGAGGTCATTGGTTTGAATTTTATCAGGATATTACTATCCTGACTGAGGTTATTTGTTTTCTGCAGTCCCTCAAGCCAGATGTCAGGATAGTCTCATAAATTAGACCACAACTGCATCCTTTCACAGCTTTCTGTAAGTATTCACTAATCATCCTACAAGTCCACACTTTATGGTATGAGCTGCTGACAGTGTCACCTCTCAGACCATAAATATAAATGTGCAAACACCCACCATAAGAAGAACATTCTCTTGTGCGCATGGAAATGCTATGGGACCTGAAACTGTTGAGGGCTACAACAGACATATTTTATATCCAAGCCACAGATTGGCAAACATCTGCTTAATAAGCCACAATGCTATAGCAAAAATAAACTTCCTGGAAGCCTGCAGGAATTAGCATTTGTCACCCAAAGTTATGTCTGTTTCATCCATAACAAAAGCAAGTGTGCGAGAGATATGCTGGCTTATGTGTTATTGTATGTGTTGGGGTTATCACGTTAAACTGAATTTGTGAGGACAGTACCTTGGTGTGAGACAACCACAGGAATCATATGGCAGCCACGTGCAAAAAACAGACACTTGCTTCTTTGTCCTTAATCGAATAAACATATCATAAAAATAAAATTCTTCCAGTGTTGTGATCTGTTGTTTTTCTTTAAGATGCTCTTTATTCTATATTTTACCGTTGATAGGTTCGGAGAAATCTCCATTTTTAGAAGAGGGGTAACAGTTTTAATTAAATGACATCACTAAATTCAGGCTGTGAGCACTGAATGTAAGGATTTAAGTCAGTACCCTGAAGACTAATTACATAAGGAATGCTTTACAACTTACAGCACTGTCTGTATTAAAAGAACTCTTGAAAACTGATTAAACTGAGATGCTGAGATTTATGTTTGTTGTCTAAAAATTCCACATCTATAATGGATGTACTTTATTAAATTCTCCACCTAAGAACAACACTGTACCTTTGAAATGCATAATGGACCATTGAAGAACAATCATTGATGTATTAAGTGATGACAGGCGTATGATATGATATGATATGATATGATATGTGGTATATGAGTTGAAGGGACAGGACAAGAGTGACTATAGATGGGTTTTGGATTGATGACTGGGTTTATTGGGCTGTTTCGTACAGCGTGTGGCACCACTTTACAGTTCACACATACACACACATTAGTCATGTCTTCATTGCCATTGCTAAGTCGCAGTTTCCCACAGCAGATGTTCCCCTTCCTTTGGGTCCTTGAACTGTCCCTGGCCTCAGCTACCAGCTTCTAACAGCAGTGGCTGACAGCAGCTGAACTGTGGCAGTTCTCCAACAAACAACTGCCAAATGGTCCTGCTTATAACATCTTGGCATGGACCATGTATAAAACGTCTCTTTCATTATTGCTATATTTTCTTGTTGCTGTGGAAACGTGCTTGTTTGCAGAGCTGGCTCTTGTGTAGTTGCTTATTTTGAGGTCATTGCCTAGCGATGGGTCTACATGCCACAATATATGATGATGATGATAATGATAAAATTTATTATTGTGATTTCAGCCACAAGTGGGCATTTTCCCTTGGGGTCCAGTTTTAGATGGAAATTTTAGTGTGCCAGGCGATCAGTGGTATGAAGGTTGGCAGGAGAAAGACTGGCATTTTCTGTGGGATACCCCAGAGGAACTCATCTGGCGTGGAAAGTTCAACCGTGGTCTCAGTTACATGAGTGGAGTCACCACACAAGAAGCTGCATTCTTCATATGTGAGTTTAACTTGTAAATGCTAAACTTTATATTTTCTCATAATGTTGGGATAATAATGTGAAATTAATTCACCATAAATTCGAACTACATTTATGCCTCTGTGTATACCTACACACATTTTGGCTGCTTCAATGGCAGTTTCCAACAAGAATTATGTTTGCTATAGTTCAGTGCTGCATCTTGGTTATACACTATTTGTTAGTGTTGGGTGGAGGAAGGTGAACTTGTGTGTCTTCTGCTACCAGTTTAGTTTGCAGGTGGAGCTTCAGTGGTTTTGAAATGCACAATAAACATGAAATAATATTATATTTCAGCATCCTGTTGCATTTATGTATCACGCATTCACTTGTTTCTGTCTCTAATGCCACACAAACTGTTCAGAGCCTCTTATTTTAAAATGTCATTAAAATCACATTTAATTGTTTTGTGCTGCATTAGAGATGGAAATGAGTGAATGAGCGAAACATCAATGCAACAAGATGCTGAAATATAATATTGTGACATATGTGACCATTACTAGGCAACGGCTCAGTAAAAAAAATTCCTGGACTAATGCTTTCAACAGTAGGACATTGTTGCTGCTTATTGGACTAATAAACAGACAGCTATAACAATATGTGACAAGAATGAAAGGTTGTCTATGTTGTCCACGCAAAGACTGCTAGGTAACTGCATGGTAACACACCACTAAACAACAGAGAAGCTGTGTTTTCTGTGCTGCATGGTCCATGCAGCGACTGTGTAAAGGATTGCAGAATTATTAGTGGATCAGATAATTGGAATTGGGAATTCAGAAGTTGCAAAAGAATTGTTATGGAAGACTCAAGAGCTTGGGAATACAACAGAATGCGAGAATGAGAATTGAGTCAGTTGTCAGTAGGAGATGGCCACGGGAAGTTAGTATTTGAAGAAGAATTAGAAGTCAGCCTGTCAACACTTAATGTATGATGAGAAGATTTAGTCACAGTGAGACTGGTTTAATTCTGTCACCAGGATATTGACTAGTGAATACTGGTAATCCTAGTGCGTCTGTAATGGTGAACTGTAAATTGTGAAATCAGTGATAGCTCTGTATTGGTTATAAGTACGGGTTGATTGTATAAGGTGCTAATAAATTCAATCATCCAATCCAAACCTCATCTATAGTCACTAATACATGTGACAATATTACGAATAGTAGTCACGCTAATGGCATATACCACTACATGAATTGTAAGAGGAAACTATTGCACTTGAGAATGAAACTTGTACCAAAGTATAAGCAATTAAACGTGATTTTACTGACATTTTAAAATAAAGTAGAGACTGTGAATTTAAAAAGTTGTTATCAATTTAAAGTGTCATACCCTACATCTGTCAGATTTTGTTACGTCTTCTTAGGTGATCATATGTATCAATGTGGGGTTAGTATCTAGTGTTTCAGAGACTTCATTGTCAGGGGTTGATGTGATACCAGTGAAAAATTACTTTGGCTTTAGGGTCCCAGGCATATACTGTATCCCATGTGAATGGAGCAAAGCAGACAAGTCACCTCATCCAGAGGGGGTGTAATGAACATGTACAACTCATACAGTGATACCATCCAAATAAGCTTGTGATAGCAAAGCACAGCATCGAGGAAGAGCGCCAGATAGACTTCAGGGACACCACAGTACTGGCCAGAGTGACAGGCTGCCTGAACTGCTTAATGAAGGAGGCTGCTGAGATCCAGCTACACTCCACTAACTTCAACAGGGGCATGGGATTCCCTGTAGGCTGTCCACGGTACCCAGAAACTAATATGATAAAACTTGGGAGAGCCATAAGAGAACATTATAAGGAACGGGCAATTGATTGTGAACCTGCTGTTCCTCCATAGGACCAGTGACTGACTCCACCTACTGTTCCCTGAGCAGTATGTGCTGGATCAGCCAGGAGCATGTTGTGGTGTAAGTTCAGCACAACAACAGTTCATGATGGAGATGGTCACAGTGTTCAAGCTAAATCCACATTGACACTACTGATCATACATAAGAAGTTCGTTTGAAGTTTGTCATTAAAATTGTAATTCCTGATCTCTTCTTTCCAGATGAGAATGAAACACTAGCTCCAGATTACACAGTGACTAGAAGTTTTGTTGATGAGAAGATTCGTGAGCTGGTACTGCGCTACAACTACACACTCAATCCAGATGGCATTTACCAGGCCATTAAGTACATGTACACGTACTGGCCCGACCCAGACAATAACTATTATGTTCGAGAAAAATATATAGAAGTGAGTAATCTTGTGAACATATTGTAGAATGCACAGAATTACTTGGTTTTGGACTCTTTTTTCATCATCCAGAATTCTAGGTAATAGAATCCACGACGTTTTGAAAAATGGATCTGTTTCTGTCTTCAGGTGAGGAAGGAAGACACCTACTCAGTTGGGCCCGTCTAGTGATTGAGATTAGCTCTTTCTAAGCAGCCCAACTGAGTAGGTAATTCTGTGTGTCATCCACCATCGTCAGAATCCTTTAGAATCTATATTGTAGAGTGGACCAGTAGTTTGTCATTTTAACAATACACAGCAATAGTTATTTGAAATGGAACCATTACTAGTCCCAGTCTTACAAAAAAATGTCTGAAATTGGAAAGAACAGTCATAAATCACTATGATAGAACCCATCTTCTTTCCAGATGAAGCATGTAAAATTAATGCTTACTGAAGGAGTCATGTATTAGAGGTCTACACTAAAGATTGTACTGTGATTTAAATATGGATTGTTTTAGACCAGTTTACTTTACATGAAACCCATGTTAATTTTCTTAAGACTGATTGCATACAAGAACTCAGTACATAACATAAAATACAGATATCATCAAGATTGACAAATATGATTTAGGACATTTTTTCATGATGGTACTGTGAAACTTCCATATTATGTTCTCAGTTTAATATTGTCACTGATTCAACATTCAGTTTCAGTGATCCTAAGTCAGGTAACTCAGTGTTGCATTGCCCGTATTTAAGATAGTCCTCAGTTCAGTATTCAGATGCACTGGTCCCGGGGAAACCTTGAATGAATGTATAAGGGGTGGGCCTTCTTGGCCCTTGCACCGCGAACTACAGTGCTTGTGTTCAGGGAAACATTAAATAGTGGTCTCATTATGTAGCCCATATGTACAAAATGCAAGGAGATATATCAGAATACCATGCAATGTGGTAACTGTAGTGTGATTAGCTTGAAGTAAGTGAACATCAAACCACTGGGGTATGCAGAATTATAAAGAATATGTCTGGAGCACAACTTTCCAATATTGTTTCTACCTTTTAAACACAGTTGGAATGTTCTATCAAAATACTTAAGTGCTGTATTGATATCTGTTCCCAGATGCTGTCAGATTTTCTGTACCGAGCCCCTAGTGACAAGATGGCAAAGTTGCTGGTTGAACAGAATGTTCGTATTTATTTGTATGTCATGAACACAACAATTGAAGCATTTAAATGGCCTCTTTGGAGGAAAGTCCCACATGACACAGAGCACTATCTCCTGGCTGGTGCTCCCTTCATGGATGTGGGTAAGTGTCAACACAAAAGAACAAAGTTTCTTTTATTCAGATAGTTACAATCATACCAACTTCAAAACTGTTGAAAGAAGGGAATGTATACATCACAAGCCATTCAGTGTCTATAATTGCCAGTATGCAGGACTGGAAGGGGGCCAGATCTCTTACATTTGAACTGCTTATGTTCAAAGCCATAGCAAGGGCACTGGAATCAGTTCCAAGGCACCAGATGCAATTGGTAGAAGGGGCACAATTATGATTTTCAGAAGTCAGTGTTTATGCTAACTTCACAGTGAATAACAGTGTATCAGCAACTTCCTAACATAATATGCTGTGTATAATGAGACAAATATTACAAACTGCCTCTCATTGTGGCCATTTCAGATTACTTCATAATATATATGAGACAAACTCCATCTTAAGTGCAATAATTTAATTGTAGTTCTTTCTTCTTTCCCTCCTCCACACTACATGTTTCGGCCCTAAATGGCCATCATCAGGTGTGTATTCTTATGTAGCTGCTACACTGCCCGCAGTTTAAAATTTAAAATCACCAGTCTTTCTAATTGTATGTATAAAATCTTTGTTAACCTACACGCGTGAATTTGATTTCTAAAATTGGCACTTTTTTAAAACTTTAATTCAAGTTAAAATGTCTATAAAATTTCTGTTCTTTTTCTTTTTCCAAATTTTTTAAAAATTAAAATTTTCTCAGGGTACACGCCCTATGTCTATAGTGCTGCAGCGGCCACTTCTTGTTTTATCGCTGTTCAGGTATTGTTCTGTGTAGGCTCTCTCTGTGTGTGTCGCTGCTTATCTTTAATACGTGTAATAAACATGTAGTGTGGAGGAGGGAAAGAAGAAAGAACTACAATTAAATTAACAATCAAGTTCCTTCCGTCAAATGTGACACTTTTTTAAGTTTTCCACCTCGTCAGCACCTGCCTTACATGTTTCGGCTCACCA